TTTCACATGGAACCGCAGCAGAGGCAGTTAGTTGGTTTACGAATGGGCGGTGTCAATAAGGCGCACTAGCGTATGCATCCATTTCTGTTCCTGGGTTGGATCCCACCCCATACTATTTCTGCCTCACTCAGACCCGAGAGTGTGTTGGGAATGCTGTGGTTTTTACTCACCCAGGTTCCATTTCATGTTTCAGGACTGCTTTCTTACTACTAGTGTGCTCTTCGAGATAGAACTCAGGATTGTCAAGCTTACCTTTGTAATTACAGACCCATCAATCATGCTTCATAAACTTGACGTTAGAAGTCTGGGCTCAGTTTTACAAGAGGTGAATTAACCTAAGTGAATGTTCTGCCTTAGTACATGGAAGATGAGTGACAATAAATGGAAGCCTTTTCCAGTTTAATTCCTATGATAGCCTGAATATCAGTTTGGGGGTTGATTTCTCTTGGTTGGAAGCAGTATGTATTCTGTCTCTGCCTTTCTTTGCAGAACTGTCACAGTGACAATGACTTCCTCAGTTTTCTTCCTCTGTGGACCACCTCACACTCCTAGCTACCTTGAAACCCCAGTTGCTGCAATACCCTGGTTTTCTAGTTTTTACTTTTCTTATTTTAACAAATAATTATCTTACTACTTGCCCAGCTTTAATGTAGTAGCCTGTACATATATGCATATATGTATGCATTATGTGCATGTATGTATGTGTGTAGATATATGAGCACACATGGTCCTCCCATGTGGAGGCCAGAGGAGGACATCAGGTGTCCTGTTTTAGCTCTCTCTGCCTTATTCCTTTGAGGTAGGTTTCTGACAACCTGAGGCCAGTCTGGTTGTCAGCAAGTTCTAGCAGTCCCCATTTCTAGGCATGAGTAGGGTTATAGGTGTGTGTACCACGCTCACCTCCTTTCTAGATTTATTTGTTTTATTGTATGAGTGTTTTGCCTGCCTGTATCTATATTCACTACATATATAACTGGTACCCAAGGAGGTAAGAGTGGGACTTTGAATACCCTGGAACTGCAGCTATGGATGGTTGAGAGCCACCATGTAGGTTCTGGGAATGAAAACCAAGTACTCTGCAAGAAAGAACAAAATGTTCTTGTAATCACTGAGCCATCTCCTCAACTCTTCACTTCCATCCTTTTACGTGGGTTCTGGGGCTCCACACTCAGGCCGTCACGCATACACAGTGAATGCTTGTGATCACCAAGCTCTTTTCTTCTTGTTTATTTGTTTGTTGAAACAAGCTTCTCTACTTAGACCTGGCTATTCTGGAACTCTCTATGTAGACCAGGCTGGCCTCAGACTTACAGAGATCCTCTTGCCTCTGCCTCCTGAGTAGCTGACTGCTGGGACTGAAGGTGAGCACCACCATGACCAGCTGTTAGGTGTTCCCTTAAATACCTATAAAGATTTTTCTCTGTCTTTGACATAAAGGTCAGCTTTTCTCCCACCTCGCTTACCAGGACTTGAACCTGTTGAACACTAGACGAGTGCTGAGCTATGTGCCAGCCCCTTTTTTGTTTAACTTTGGAGGAGGGTTTTGCCAGGTTGCTCAGGCTGGACCAGAATTCACTCCTCAGGTCAAGCTAGCCTTGAACTTGTGGTCTTCCTGCCTCAGCCTCCTGGAATTACAGGCCTGTGTCACCAGGCCTGGCACTAAACTCTGAACTTGGCATGTAGATTTGGAAAATTCAGCTGTCGTCATTCATTCTGATCCATACCCTTCTTAGGCCAGCTATGTTAATTAGCACGTGCATTTGCCTTCTGTTGCCAATGTTCAGTCTATGTCAGGTCTTCTGATCTCCATCCTCTGTATGGATGCTTTCTTCAAGGTTAGCTCTGCTGCTTTCTCCTTTGCAGACTGAGCCTTTCATCCAGCAGTGATGTCAGTGACACTTTTCCATACCTCTGCTGTCGGCTTTTTGTCAGACTTGTGGATAGGATAATTATATGCTCTGCTAGCACTCTGAAGTATAGACCTACAATGAGAATCTGAGAAACAATTAAAATATAAGCTTATTCTTAGACTTTGCCTTATAAATATTTTGACCCAGTAGATCTGATATAAGTCCTGGGAATCTCAGAGTTTAAGATACTCTTAGGTTTTTCTCTCCCAGACACATGGGCACCAGGTACCTGGGGCTAACGTGGAACTCACTGTGTAGGCTCAGCTAGCAATGAATTTGGGTTGTGGCAGGCTTGTGCCACTGTGCCTGGCTAAGTCCCCCACCCATGCTGTTGTTCCATGTGGGGATCAGGAACTGGGAAAGGGGGAGGGCCCTTGAATGGCGACAGAGCCCAGGCAGAATCCCGGGAATCAGATTCCAGAGACCAGACTCAAGGTGTACATCTAATTTTATTGTCCAGTGTAAAGGCCTTTAAACGATTGAAAAGCCAATCAGATCATCCCATGCTAGCCTCAAGCACCAATAACAATCAATCAGGTTGGTGTAACTGTAAGGAAATGTGAGAGGGGAAGCAGTCACCACCCTAGTCCTGGATCCATTTCAAGACTTCACTGCTGTGCTAGGAGTCCTTAGAAGATCAACACTGTGCAGTGGATCAGGATCCTTCTAGGAACCATAGGAATTGCTGACACTTGCCATTCGCTGTGGGCCTCCAAAAAGCTTATCTCGACATTCCCTATAGTTCTGTTTTCCCGGGAGTGCCAGCTGCAGCCTGAGAGGCCTCTTGCCAGACATTCAGTGTTGCCAGCTTCCAGGTAGGAAAGGGTGGGACCTCGGAGTACCGGGTTCTACTTCTGTCAGGAATGGCTAGAGTGCACAGATCAAGGTCCATGAGCAAGACTCTAGATCTCACTGGGGGTGTGGAAAAGAGTTTTTCCAGTGTGCTACAATTAGCTCTTTTTAATGAGATTACCAGTACCAGGTGGCATCGGAAACTCGGGCGTTCCAAAGCCAGTGGTAATATGACAGTGTTACTGCTCTTTATTTAAGCCACTATGCTAGTGGAAGAGGGTGCCTGTGCCTAGTTGGTTCATGGCTGAAATGCAGGTCTGGCAGCTGCTCTGGAGGTCAGCAGTTTGTGATGGTCAGCAGCTCACGGTGGTCCAGTTGGCTTCAGTGGCAACTCATACAGCCATAGCCATAGCCATAGCCATAGCCATAGCAGTATGGGAAAAGGTTGTTGGCTGAAAGCTAAGGTAGAGGGTATTTCCAGGAAAGGGTTGGTCCTATAATCTCCCTGAGGTCCTTAGGACACTCTTTAAATGATCTGGGGTTTCCCCAAATTAGGCAGGGAGGAGGGAACCCAGCTGAGGAAGGGAGTGGCAGTTGAGCATGAAGCTCAGGGACTATCCTGTAATGGCAGACTTAGATCTTCACAGCAGGGTCTAACATCCTCATCCTTTGTTGTTGTTGTTGTTTTGTTGTCTTTGTTGCTTATTTGCAATAAGGTCTCACTATGAATTCCAGCCTAACCCTGAATTCAAGGCAATCCTCCTGTCTCTGTCTCCTGAATGTGTCACAAACCCAGAGTTCTCAGATCTTTCTGCCTTGTGTTAGAAATCTGAATCCTTGTTTTGTCTGCTCCACTGTGTTAGTTATTGAATTTTGACTATTTGTCATCATTTTATTTGCTAGTGTATTTATCTTACGTAATCTTATTGCAAACTCTTTTCTACTTGGTTTCCTGTGGTAGTTAGCACAATAGATACATAGTAGATGTTCAATAAATTAAAAGATTGAAGTATGAACCTCTAATTTGTGTGTTTATAGTAGAAACTGTACTGTAAAGGACATGTTTCTAGGAGATGTTCTGAACAAGTTTATAGAGTTAGAGCAGGACTTTCTTTGGATCTGGAAATAATGGCATTGAGACTTTTTATCAGTTATTAAAGCTTGGCCTTAGCTTAGTTTGTTCCCAACTAGTTCCTATCTTAAATTAACTCCTTTGTATTAATCTACGTCCTGCCACGTGGTTCTTTACCTCTCAGTCTCTCAGTCCTGGGACCTGTTTCTTCCTTCCTGTCTGGCTGGTGTGCCTGAGTCCTATCTTTGCCTGGAAGTCCTGCCTCTCTCCTGCCTTTGCTGTTGGCAGGAGGTGAGGGAAGTGTATGTTTACAAAACACAGGTGGTGTGCAACAGTTCCAAAGTTCAGTCTGTCCTCAGCTCTCTGCTGATACAGAAATCAGCATTGGGCTAATACAGGACAATCTTTACACAGTGCACAAAAAGACCATCCCAACATAGAGTAGCTTGCTGTGGTGTGATAGGAAGGAAAGTGTCACCCTAGATCAAAACAGAAACAAATACTGAGCTTGCAGGGGACAAGTGGTGCCAGGTAGTGTTTACTTATAGTAAAAGAGAGAGAAGATCAGGTACCTAACAGCAGTTTTCAGGTGATGTGCGTTATTCCTAACACTACAAATGAGGTTAAATTCATCCTATAGGAAAGTTGACATTTTGCCGTTGGTGCTGGTAGACAGTATTGAGCAAGCACAGCACAGCACTGTTAGCTTAAATGTACCCTAGCATCCTTTCCAGCAAACTCTTGAATTGGGATTGGCAGTCAGTCACATTAGCATGGTAGGAAACTGTGTAACCCCGGCCTGTGAAAGCAGTTCAGATGCCTCTATAGCTACAGTGGCAGTGCTGTGGTTACTGCGTCACACCTTCTAAGTGAGAAAAGGTAATTTAAGCCAGAATGTGCAAAGCATAGCTCTTAGAAATGACTGCTTTGTTTCTGGAGTGACTGTTTTTCAGGAAGGCACAATGTCTGTAGCTTCGAGGTGAGCAAAGAAAAGAAATGCTTGTCCTTGCTATCCTGCTCTGGTGTAGGGTCTGGGGAAGGCCTGCATAGATGTCTTGCTACTGCTGAAATTTTGTGCTTGTTTTCGGCATTACTGGAATTTCTTCTGGTTTATTAAGTTTGTGTTCTCATGCCACAGAAATGTTTTCAGCATCCCTAGTTCATTTTCACTTCCCCTTTCTTCTATGAACTTCCAGTGTAATCAGTTTCTGCCCTTCGCTTTCCAGGTCAGATGACGACGTGGAGAGTAGGAGCTCCAGGGTGACCCAGCTTTGCACTTACTTTCAGCAGAAATACAAGCACCTCTGCCGCCTGGAGCGGGCAGAGTCTCGACAAAAGAAATGCCGGCATACATTTAGGAAGGCGCTGCTGCAGGCAGCCAGTAAAGAGCCCGAATGCACTGGCCAGTTGATACAAGAACTGAGGAGAGCTGCATGCAGTCGAGCCAGGTTAGAGTCACACAGATAAGGCCACCGTTCTCAGGCCTGGTTTACTTCTACTTTGCTTCACATAACCTTTGAGGGGTAGTTTAGGCATCGTGTGAGCTGCAGTTGTGGCTCTGTCATTGAGGGTTTGTCCAGGTGCAGGTGTTCATGTCAATGCCAGCACCACCAGAAAGGAAATAAATTTAATATTCTGTTTGTTTGTTTGTTTGTTTGTTTGTTTTGAGACAGGGTATCACTATGTAGTTTGGGCAGGCCTGGTTACTCTATGTAGACCAGGCTGGCCTCAAACTTACAGAGAATCGCCTGCCTCTACCTTCTGAGTGCTGGGACTAAAGTCCATGCCTCCCAGCCCAGCAAGATACTTGATATGCCAGTGATCCACTTTTCTACCTTTGTGAGGCCTTTTTTCTATGTGTGCGTGTGTGTAAATTGCAGATGTGAGTTCTCTCCTTTTACCATGTGTGTTTTGGAGATGAAACTCAGATTACAGATTTGGGGCACGCACCTTTACCTACTGAGCTGAACGATCTTGCTTATCCTTAAATTTCTTACTTTGTCTTTTGAGAGGGTCTCATAGCACAGGCTGCCCCCGAGCTCCAGATCTTTCTGTTTCCAGCACCTTCTTAATGCTGCCACTGTAGGTTTGCCGCAGTGCCTGGTTTATGCAGTGCTGGTGATTGACTCGGGCCCTACTGCAGACAGTGCCTACTGATGAGAAAGAGCTTTCCTTATATACCAGGTGATCAAAGTGAAGACAGCATTCACGTAATGAAGCACGGACTTGCAAAAAAGTAGCAGGCTTTATAAATGCATTCAACATTTTGAAGGATGTGTGGGACTTAACTTTTTTTTTCAGAATGGTCATATCTACTTTCCCATTTTTACACTCAGGTATCTTTATAGACTATTTATTAGCACCGGGTGCCAAATGGTCCTAATGATGGTAGTAGAGACTGATATCCACCAAGGTCAAGTCTCTTTGTTCAGGCAGCGCTGCCAGCTAACGGTATCTATTGGTTCTGCTGTACAAGTGAGGGATCTGTAAAAGTTGTCGCATAGTGAAGAGGGTCTGCTTGCTTCATGGTCTTCATCCCTTACCAACCAACCAACCAACAGAAAGCCCACAGCTGGGCATAGTGGCTTATGCCTATGGTCCTGGCACTGAGGAGTTTGAAGCAGGGTTGCTCTTGTTTGAGTCTGTGCTGGATAGTTCCTTCTGGGTTAGCCTGAGCTACATAAAAAGACCTTGTCCCCAAAACAAGAAAAATCAAAACAAGGGACAATGTCTGGGTTCATATATGTAATCCCAGCACTCAGGAGGTGAAGGTGGGAAGCCCAAGTATGCTACATAGGGAGACCCTGTCTCAGAAAACAAGCTAAAACCAAACTACCAGATAGGTGCATTTGAAAAACACTGTGATGTAGCTGTTTGTCTTGAATGTTAGTAGGTCAGCAGAGTCACACATTAGATAATTGTAATACCTGCTGTCTTTGATTCGTACTTGCGTTTTTAAATGGCTGTGCACATAAAGATAGTTACAGTGTTGGTGTTACAGACACAGTATTGGAAATTTATCTTGGGGCCATGAAGATGGGCAGTGGGTAGCGGCGATTGCCATCCAGCTCAATGACTTGTTTGATCCCAGTGCCTATGTGGTGGAAAAAGAGAGAACCAGCTCTCTGGAGTTGTTCTCTGGTGTCCATGTTGCTGTGGCTTGTGTTCATCCATTCACACATATAGAAAAAATAAGATAGTGAGATCAACGTTTAAAAGAAAAAAATTACCCTGGGTTGTTAGAGCACTTCAGATGAATTCTGCATTTTTCCTTCTTCAGCCTCAGCCAGAACAAGTTGAAAGAGGTGGAGCCGGCAGCATGCAGTGGAACGGTGAAGGGTGAGCAGTGCACCAACAAGGCCCTTCCCTTCACCAGACATTGCTTCCAGCGTATCCTTTTAGCCACAGTAAGCAGGCATTGAAGGTAACCCCTCTGGGGCCGTGTGCTTTGTTTGCTTTTGGTTTGGGTTTTGGTTTTTCAGGGCAGAAGCTTCTTTGTATAGCCCTGGCTGCCCTGGAAGTAGATCCTAGATTAGGCTGGCCTAGAATACACAGAGCTCTCCCTGCCTCTGCCTACTGGATTAAAGCATGTGGCACCAGCACTGCCATGCCTGAGGCTGTGAACTTTTAACCCTGGTAGTCCTGGGAGTTGAACTCAGGGTCTTCCACTTGCTAGGTAGCTGTTCCCCTGCTATACTTCATTTTAAAATGACTGTTCCCTGCCTCACTTCTTTTTGAGGTAGAATTTCACTGTGCAGTTGAGGTTGGTCTCAAACTCATTATTCTCCTTCCTCAGTTGAGATTTCAGGTATACACCACCACGTCTGACCCAAACAAAACAAAACAAAACAGTGAAATAATAGCTATTTCTTGTTTAGACTAATTTTTACATGAATTTTTATCTTCACATAGTCCTGATTAATTTTCTGGTATATCATTGTGCTTAACTTCTAAACTTGTGTGTATTTCATTTTCATTACACTGAGTTTGGAAAGGAAAGACTTAGGGGTGCATAAACCTGCGCTCTTTTGATGTCTCACAGATGGAGAAGAAACAGGGATCCAGCTCATTCAATGTCTGAGGCAGAGTCGAGAGGTCTGACTTGTAAGCAGAGCAGCAGAGTAGACTCCCTAATGGCTGATGTCCAAGTGTTTCTCATTAAAATGGAATGCTGGTCTTGTAGTACTTCCAGCTTGCAACTGGAAAGATTATTGATAGAAAATCAAATCTCTTTTTTTGTTGTTTTGGGGGGCTTGTTTTCTTTCTCAGGTAGCCCTGGCTGTCCTGGACTATAGACCAGGCTGGCCTCAAACTAAGGATCCCCCAGCCTCTGCCTCCCAGCTGCTGAGATTAACGGTGTGTGCCACCGATGCTGGCACTTGTTTTGTTTTGCTTTATTGTTGTTTGTTTTGTTTTTGAGACAGTGTTTAGTAGTCCCAGTTGCCCTTAAACTCACTGTAAAGTCAGTTTTCCTCACCTCTATGTGTGTTCTGCAGATTGGCCTGAGGTCAGCAGGCTTGCAAAGAAAGCTCCTTTACCCACTGAGTCATCGCACTGGGCCAGTGGGCCAGTGCGTTCGTTTTTATAAAACTGAGTAGCATTTAAAATACTTACTTTTGTTTTCTGCAGACAGGATCTTGCTATATAGTCCTGCTTGTGCATAAACTGTGGCAGTCATTCCTAAACCTCTTGAGATTACAGGCTTGTGTTATCACATCCAGCTAAAAATACTGTATATTAGCAGTGACTCTGATTTACAATCTTCACTTTGTATTTATGTGTTTGAGATTTAGTGAAATAGATTATAACTCCACTATGTCACTATGTAACCCTGGCTGGCCTGAAATTTGATTCAACCTACCAGATACTGGGATTGCAAATCTGTAATAGAGTCTCAGGAGAGATGTGTTTCTCTTTCCTTCTTAGAAACAGGGTCTCACAGGTCTCCCAGGTTGGTGTCAGGGAGACATCCTCCCACACCTGGCTTCTACACTGGAATTTTTACCCTTCTTTCTGTACTTTGAAGTGAGTTTTCACAGGTTTTTCTATAGCAGTTAAGTATAACCAAAAGGGGAAACACAAATACACTTTCTAAATAGAAAATAAAACTTTTTATTTGTTTGCCTTTATTTGTGTTGTACTGGAAACTGCATGTAGGGCCTCGTATATTCTGCTTACACACTTGCCAACAAGCTCTGCCCTCAACCAGAAATCAGATATTCACATAGTTTACTGACTAAGAAGATGAACCTTTCTTTTGTCTTTTTCTTCTTCTCCCCCCCCCCCCCCCCCTTTTGGTTGGTCTTTTGAGGTAGTCATGAGTTTAGGGCTAGCTTAGCAAGTCCCTGTCTAAAAAACAAAACAAAAAGCTCTAGACACTTCAATTTTAAATAGGGCTTTTAAAATTAATTTTGTCATTAATTTGTGAGTTTCATTTTGGTTCTAGAAATGTGAAATGAATAATGCAACCTTGGACAGATAGATTTTTTTTTTTTATTTTTTATTATTTTTTTTTTTTATTTTCATTCTCCTTGGTGAGTATCCTAAGAGAAAGTTTTCTTTTTAAATCCTGGTTTTAGGAGCTGGAGAGCTGGCTTATCAGTTAAGAGCACTTGTTGCTTGCTCTTCCAAATGAGCTGATTTTGGTTCCCAGAACCCACATGGTAGCTTACAACCATCCATTCCAGTGGGGTTGACGCCTGGGGTACATATGAACAGCCAGGCAAAGCACTCATACATAGCCAAAATAAAAATACCTAAAAAAAAAATAAGCACTGGTTTCAGAACAGTCTTTCTTGTGGGGATTTTAGGAGCATGTTAACAAGAAAATTCTATTGCTGTACAGAAATTGGTTCAGAATGGCCATAAAGCAGACTTACCTTTTAGCTAAGTAAAATCAGCTCATTATTTATCATTATCATTTTCCTGTCAGCACTCTGATCGGTGCATTAACCTTATAGACAGTGAAACACTTAATAAAACTCAAGGAAGGAGAGTAACATTTTATTCAGACACCTAAGAGTTAAACCGCTTGAGTACGTTTCCTCCCTGACTGTAACCCCAGACATCCTTTCAAACCGCTCTCAGCAGCTGTTCTCCAGCTGCACTGCCAAGTTTGCGGACGGACAGCAGTGCTCTGTGCCAGTGTTTGACATTACACACCAGACGCCCCTGTGTGAAGAGCATGCCAAGAAGATGGTAAGTTTAGTTTATGTTCTGCTGTTGGGGCTTTCAAACTGTTGATGACTCTTCCTACTAGGAAATAAGCTATTAATGAAGTACTGTAAAAACAGTGGTTACAATACTGGAAGCTCTTGCTGTGTTGCCTTTGACTAAAATATTTCAAAATGTTATGTTGACCCCTTGATTTCCAGGCTCCTTTCATAACAAAACCAAACCTCCAGTGTTTCAAAGAGTATTTAGTAAAGTTTGACATCTCTGATCCAAAATCCCAAACTCTGGGTTCTGAGATGACACGATACTCAAGAAGTATAGGTTTTGGAGCCTTCTGGATTTTGGATTTTAGATTTCTGGAGAAAGGATTCTCATATGCAAATTGTATGTAAATATTTGATAACCTCAAAACACTCTGGTCCCTCAGTGTTTCAGAAGAAAAATATACCTGTAGTTACTTAGATAAAACACTTTAAAAATCACCCGTCTGTATTCTTTATGTCTCATAAATATACACACAATAGTATAGATGTATTTTCTTACATACAGTAGGTTTTGTAAACTCCAGCTTTTCCTTCATTTTTTGCTTTTTCATAAGCTGCTCTGGGAATGATCTGGATATTTATAAAAGTTAGGCAAAACACCAAGCCTTTCTGTAATGTTGTTGAACTTAATTATTGCTTTCGTTAATGCTGGTATCATGAATCCTAATTAATGTAGAATAATTTGAAGGCGAGACACATTTGAATTAGTTGAATATTTGAATTACATAATTATCTAAAATGGGTTTGATTTGGGGTGAAGCTGTAGCTTAGTAGTAGAAACTTGTCTGTCATGAACAAGATTCTGGATTTGATGTCAGCATGGAGCAAACAAAACCAAACCCTCAGAGTTGGGTTATATTGTTTTCATTCATCAAGCAGTTATTACAAGATAATGTGCTGGATAGCTTGTGTACCAGAAGGTCAAGGGAGTCACCCTGTTCTCTGAGCCTGGTGCAGTTTCATGAGTTCATCAGTATCCTGGACTGAGCAGCTGCTTTGTGGTTCTGGCTTTGCCATTAGCTGAGGGTTCAGTTAGACAGAGAATCTGCCTTCCTGGTCTGTCCTCTTGTTAGCATACTGGGTTTACCAAAAAAACTTCTTTTGTGGTTACCTCCATTTGAGGATCATGTTTTGAAAATTGTGAATACTAATTTCGTGTAGAAATGTTGAATTTACTTTCCTATTTAATTAAAATATATTTAAAGGAGTCAGGCACAGTGGCACAATTCTGTAATTCCAGCACTCAGGGAGGCAGAGGCAGGTGTATCTCTGTGAGTTTGAAGCCAGCCTGGTCTACAAAGCGAGTCTAGGGCAGTCAAGACTAAATAGAGATACCCGGTTTGGGGGAGGGAGAAAAAATGTACACACACACACATATATATAGTATATTTATTCATTTAAAGTGTGGGCATTTTTCTTAGTTTATTCAGGCTTTATATGAATTGAAGGATAATTTTGTGGTTTTTGTCTTGTGTTGTTTTGAGACAGGGCCTCACTCTGTAGCTTAAGCTGGCCTGGAACTCATCAATTCTGTGCCTCTGCTCTCTGAGTATTCAGATAGTAGGTTTGAGAGCCACCAGCCACCAGCTTCCTGTGTACGTACCTGTTGATGTAGATGTGTACTTACATGTGTAGATGCCAGTTTGATGTTGGGTGTCTTTCTCAGTTCTTCTCACCCTTAGTTTTTGATAGTTTCTCTTGCTAAACCTGGAACTCACTGGCTTAACTGGCGGGCCTAACTGGCCCCAGAGATATGCATGTCTCTGCCTCCCTAGTACTAGGGTTATAGAGGCCTCACACCATACCTAGCTCTGTATGTGGGTGCTGGCAATCTGAACTTAGGTCCTTGTGCTTGAGCAATACCAACTGTGCCATTCCCTAGGCCTCTGTGTGCTTTTGAATCCTTTTGTGGACCTGGGCTGATGATTCCACAGATACTTGTTGACAGGGGCCTGCAGCTTTCAAAGCGTTGTAGGAACTCAGCTCCTGATGTTATTCCATGATGTTCATTTCCACATACATGTAAGACCAGGATCTGTTTTAATGATTTACAGGAATCTTAACTGCTGGTGGTGAGGATTTAAGATAGGATCTTCTGTACCCCATGCTAGTCTTGATCTTGATATGCAATAAGGATAATAATGAACTGCTTTTTTTGTTTGGTTAGTTTTTGTTTGTCTTTTTGAGACAGGGTATAGTTGTATACCCTGGCTGTCCTGGACTTGCTTTGTAGACCAAGCTGCCCTTGAACTCACAGAGATACATCTGCCTGCCTCGGTCTCCTGAGTGCTGGGATTAAAGGCATGTGACAGCATGACCAGAAACAATGAACTTCTGATCTTCCATCTCCTAAGTGCTAGGATGATAGGCACACATCATCACGCTTGAGTGTCCTAATTGCTTAATAAGAACTCTGCCATATCCTCAGCACTGGCTTTAAAAATAAATGTGTGACTTCAGAGTCTATACTTATGTTTACATGAAGTAGTCCTTTGAGAATTCTTGATTTTGTACTTTGTCTTTTCTGATTTGAATTTGATCTAATGGTATCAGTCTCTAAACACTGTAGTCTTCTTAACTAAATAGCTAAGTTAAGAGCTGATAGTTAGAGCTATTCCCCAGCTCCTCATTTCTTTGTAGTAAAAACTTTTGGTTTGAAGTGTATAGCGGATTGCCAACCTGCAGTCACCTTGTTATACTACGCTGACATACCAGGAGTGAGGGGTGGAGCAGGGTCTAAAGGATCTTCTGTTTATTTCACAGGATAATTTCTTGAGAGGAGATAACTCCCGGAAAGTTCAGCACCAGCAACAGAGGAAACCTAGAAAAAAAACGAAGCCCCCTGCACTTACCAAAAAACATAAGAAGAAGAGACGGCGTGGACCTCGTCGACCCCAGAAGCCCATTCCCCCTGCAGTGCCCCAAGGGAACCTCAGTATGCCCACCAGCGTCTCACTGCCAGTGGAGGCCTCGCAGATACGGTCAGTGTGGCCACTGGTTTGCCTTTCCTTTGCACTTTCTAATCTCAGTACATCTGCCCCTCTGTGCTCAATTGTTGCTACTAACTGACCACAGCCCCTGAGCAGATCCCCAGCCTAATTTAAACAGTGACCTATACAAGTGCTAGCAGTATCTGGCTAAGTTTGTGGTACATGTTTATCAATGTCAGTTTTTATTATAGCAAAGAAAATAGATGCTGAAATTGAGAATTTAATTTATGCTCTCAGATTAATCTGTTTTAACAGATAAATTATTATTATTATTATTATTATTAAGTACTTCTATTATGGTATAATAGAAGTACTTAATTAGGAATATGATTTTTTTTTTAATTTTGGCAGACTTAAATATTTTGATCAGGTGAATTTCAGTTCATTCTTGACCATTTTTTCATTTTTAAAGTTATTTTTCTTGATCAGATTTGAAATCTTACTAAAATATAGATACACTAAATGGAGATTCATTTCACTAATTTTAAGTGAAAATATAATCTAATGATGCTCGTAATCATGGATAAAGGCTGTTAGTAACTTGTGGCTGTGTATAGTGAGGTGTGTCTCTCTGGAATGTTTTGCCTTCAGATTTCCTTCTCAAAGTGAGGAAAGGTTTTGTTGTTGTTTTGATACAGAGTCTTGAGTATTCCTAGACATCCTCAACTCACTATGTAGCTGAGGGTGAGCTAAACTTCTGATTCTCTGGCCTTTACTTCCTCTGTGTGGGTGTTGAAGGCACATGCTACCACCAGCTGGGACCAACTTGCTTTATGTTACCATGTCCTGTGCTTGAGCTGAATGTTTAGGGAGTCAGGGTCATTCGCCGAGGCGGGTGTGTGTGTGTGTGTGTGTGTGTGTATGGCAGCATAGAGATGAGTTGCTCTGTCTTTGCAGTAGCCCTTCCACACCAGAGCTGAGTGCTGATGAGTTGCCGGATGACATTGCCAATGAGATCACTGACATTCCACACGACTTGGAATTGAACCAGGAAGACTTTGCAGATGTCCTGCCACGCCTGCCTGATGACTTACAAGATTTTGATTTTTTTGAAGGTATGGTCAATGCTTTACTTAAAGAACTAATTTAGAAATGGTTCATAAGAAGGGAAATACATTTTATTTTGTGGATTTTGAGGCACGCTTTTGCTACGTAATTCAGGCTAGCCTTGAACTCACAATGCTCCTGTCTCAGCTCTGGGTAATGCCTAGCAAATTCATCACCAAATTCATCCTAGAAAGAATAGCAATAATAGTATCAACATTAACTTACTATTATTGATGTATGTAATTATGTGTACTTGTGCACAGCCACGCAAGGACATCAAGGGTGGAGGATAGCTGGGTACTGTACTCTTCTCCCACCCTTACACGGCCCAGGGATTAGACTCAGCTTGTTAGGCATCTATGTGGCATGTCCCCTCGCCCACTGAGCCATCTTAACTGGCCATTTTATTTTTAATAAAATAGCCTTTTGCTGTGTATCTGAAATGTTTTCCCTGACATAAAATTTCTGTCACTGTAAATAGAAGAAACCAACATCACTAAAGCAGTTTTCTTTTCAGAAGGTGAGAAATACATAATTTATTTTGTCATATTATATACTTAGTAGATTTATACTTTAATAGCTATGCAATTTTGTTCCATTAAAGTGAGTACTTTTTCTTAATGTTGTGACAGAGCTATTCAACACATCTTTTATTTGTAAAGATGGTTTGTTAGACTCTTTCACAGGTGGTGCATGTCTGTAACTCAGCAAGTGCTGGGGTTAAAGGTGTGCACCACCATGCCCAGCCAAGCAGGAAGACTAAAGAGTAGATCAGACATACTTTGAACGGTTAACTCATGGAACTGGAGAGGTGGTTAAGAGCACTTGCTGCTTTTGTAGAGAACCTGTTTGGTTGTCCTCAGGTTTTCACAACCACCTCTAAATCCAGCTTCTGGGGATTTGATACCCTCTTCTGGACACCACAGGAACTGCACTCACACATCAACACGTAGCTAGATCCAATATACACATAATTAGAAAGAGTATATCTTTCTAAAAAAAGATTAACATATGAAAGAAACTGAGTGCTTACCATTAAGTAGTATGGATTTTGTGTTCTCGTCTCCAGCTGGAAGAATCTAGATGTAGACAAAGTATTATATACCTGTCTTGCTTTCCATAGCCTTCATTTCTTTATGTTAATGATGCTTATATCATTTAGGTTAAAAATTCGTATAATCAAATAGACACTGTATTTTTAATTGGCAGTCTTTTAGACTTCGTAAGAGCCTAACATTTCGAGGGCTGAAGAGCTTGCTCTTTGGTTGCGTGTTTGCATTCTTCCAGAGGACCTAAATTTAGTTGCCAGAACCCATATTGGGCAGCTTACTACTGCTTGCAACTCCAGCCCCAAGATCCCACGCCTCGGCCTCCACAGGCACCTGTACATATGTGGCAGAAGTTCACACAGACACACAACCTACCAATGACCAAACATACAAGAATTCAACAGAGCCAGGCATGGGGCACACGCCTTTAATCTCAGCACTTGGTAGGCAGAGACAGGCAGATCTTTATGAGTTAGAGGCCAGCCTAGGCTACGAAGTAAGATTGTGTCTGAAAACAAACAAAACAAGCCATTTCATATGGTAGGTTTCTGAGAATAAATAAATAAAACGGTGATTGAAATCCCAAGAAAGCTGGCATTTGAGGCCTATCCTACAGATCAGTATTTTATATTGTTTTCCTAATCTCATTTCAAGAAACCTCTTTTCACAAAGGACTCTTTTGAGACAGCGTTTCACTATGCAGCCCTAAAGGGCCTACAACTCAGTATGGAGACCGGGCTGACCTTGAACTCAAGAGATCCATCTGCCTCTGCCTCCTAAGTACCGGGAATACAGGTATGCACCTCCACACCTGGCAAGAAGGACTTTTGTGATAAGATAGTGTTTGAAACATTGAGGTGTGTGACTTTTGCTATAAGCTCTACTGATTGTGATGGCTTTGCTTGATGCAGGAAAAAATGGAGACCTCCTCCCAACCACCGAAGAAGCTGAGGAGCTTGAGCGGGCCTTGCAAGCTGTAACTTCTCTCGAGTGCCTGAGTACCATTGGGGTACTTTCCCAGTCAGACGGTGTGCCAGTTCAGGGGTTGTCAGATAGAGGGATGGGGGTGTTCTCCACGGGTACTGATGCTTCGGGAATCCAGTCCTTGAGTCGAGAAGTAAGCACGGACCTAGGGGAGCTATTGAACGGACGTATAGTACACGACAGCTTTTCTAGTCTGGAGCTGGACGAGAGCCTGCTCCGTCCTGCGACTCTGCCTGACCCACCTACGCCCCTGGCAGGGCAGATCCGGGGGCGGTTCCCTGCCCCCGCCAGCGTTGGCCTTACTTCTGCCACCCTGCTCAGCCAGAGTGCACTTGGGGAGAGAGCCTTCCCAGGACACTTTCATGGACTTCATGATGGCAGCCATGCCTCCCAGAGGCCACATCCTGCCCAGCTGCTGAGCAAGGCAGACGACCTTATCACCTCACGACAGCAATACAGCAGTGATCATTCACACTCCTCACCCCATGGAAGCCATTATGATAGCGAGCACGTGCCGTCACCCTACAGTGACCATATCACCTCTCCCCACACATCTTACTCTGGTGATAATATGGCAGCTACATTTTCAGCAGAGATGCCCATCATGGCACAGCACTTGCTCCCCACCCAGCTTGAGGTGCCACTTGGAGGAGTGGTCAACCCCAGAACTCACTGGGGGAATCTCCCCGTCAATCTCGGCGACCCCTCTGCATTTAGCAACCTCCTTGGCGCGGATGGACACCTTCTTTCCACTTCCCTCTCCACGCCACCCACCACATCCAACTCAGAGACCACGCAGCCTGCCTTCGCCACCGTTACCCCAAGCAGTTCCAGTGTGCTTCCGGGGTTACCACAAACCAGCTTCAGTGGCATGGGACCTTCCGCTGAACTAATGGCCTCCACCTCTCCCAAGCAGCAACTCCCGCAGTTCAGCGCAGCCTTTGGCCACCAGCTGAGTTCCCACAGTGGCATTCCTAAGGACCTGCAGCCCAGCCACAGCTCGATAGCCCCTCCTACAGGCTTCACAGTAACAGGTGCCACGGCTACAAGTACCAATAATGCATCTCCCCCCTTTCCCACCCCTAACTAAGCGAGTCTGTGTGCTTGCAGGCAGGTGGAACCCAGTGTTTTCTATCTTTGTTTCCTCTTTTTGCACCCCTCTCCCTTTTCCTACAGAAGATTTAAAAATAACAGTGGGGATTAGGAGGGACTCCCCTTCCAAGTTCAACAAGTGGCCGTGCCGTGGACCTTGTGTCAGTGTTCACGCGTGCTCCTTAGCACTGGTGCTCATCCCCTCCTGGCGGGTCCCCTCGGCCTGGCAGTTTCTCTGGTGGCTCAGCACAGTGACTGGATAGGATTGATTTTTTTTTTTTTTCAGCAAGTCCTAGAAGTGGAAGATACCTCAGATTACCAGTGCCCTTTACTGTCTCCTAGTGTTCAGATCAATGCTCCCCGTTCTCTAGCCAGGTTTTTACATAGGTTGTTCTAGGTGGAGTGGTCCTGTTGAGATCCTGTGTAGCAGGTGGTGTGCAGACAGAAAGCAAAGCTCTGACTTAGCACCAACTGTCAAATACCACAGTGAGGCTGGGATGCCATTCCTAATTGTGACGTGCTTCACTGAAAAGAAAATTGTCTCTTGATCGCCTGTGAATGCGTGTTTACCCCGTGTGTGTTTTGTGCGTTGCAGTAGCTGTCCCATTGAATTTTTTCTTTTCTCCCAAAATAAGCATAAAGCTCTTTTCTCCCTCCTTCTGTCTCATACCTAGCAAGCTTGGTCCTTCTTTCCTGCTGAGGTGACTAAGGCATCCTGAATCGGAGGGGTGGTCTACTAGTGGCAGTACAGTGCTTGCTAAAGATAAGCCTGTGAAGAAAGGGACCACAGATGGCTGAGTTCACACCAGTGGCAGGGAGTGTCAAGACAACTGACCTCGCCTTTGCCATGTGCATTTGTTTCAGAACTCCTCACTCATGGAACATGTTCACAGGTAGTAATTGAAGAAAATATTTTGATGTGCAAAAGCAGGCTAGCCAAGAAAGATTTAAAAAAATGACATCTCTGACCTGCTTGGTCCATCACTCGCTCCTAGTGTTTACGTGTTTACAGTTGTGATTCTTTGGTGAGATTTGTGAACTGTGGAGTACACGTGTAGAATCCGTGTACCAGTTGTGAAGTAATGTGTAATATCGGAAGGACACACATTTTAAAGTTTCTTTCAAAGCAGAATATGGAAATCAGACATAAATTTGACTTGTCTTAGGTACTTTAAACATAAGTACTTAGGATGAAGTAAAATTGGAAATTCTTTTAAAGTACCAAGGTTTTAGGGTAAAAATCTTATTGCGTAGTGCAGTAAGTTGGTGATTATGAAGTGATGTGTGGGGTTTCTTCTTGCCTGCCTTCCCCTCCCAGAAGAGGGTAGAGCTTCATTTTCTACTCTGTTTTGCTGAGGTTTCACTGTCTCTTTGGATACCATTAGGTTTAATCTAATTTATGTATGTATATTTTTAAAAATAAGGCAACATATCTATTAATGATGTGGTACAGTAATTCTTTTGTCAGGGACTGTTTGATCCTAATTCCTTCCTAATAGGTAAAGGTTGAGACATATTTTCCTACTTCTTATGTGCATTTTCTTCACGCCATGCTAGTTCTACCCAGTCCCTTCTGTTGAAGGTTCTTTCTCTGCCTTGTAACAATGATAGTGATTAGCAGGCATTATGCAGATACCACGTGCCTGAGCTTTTGGAGGGAAAGTGTCATGTGACTGTATGAAATCATGATATGCCCTATTTGTATTTATTGAAATTGGGGGTCAAAATATGTTTGTAATATATTTACTTTTTTTTTTCTTAAAAATCATGTTAGTTAATTGGAACGTTTATTTTTAATAGCTTTGCCTTTTTTGCAGATTGAGAAATTTCTAAATTATAAATTGTGTCACAAAGCAAAATTATATTTGGTATCACCATGAACTTCTCTCCTGAATTGTGAGAACAGCTTTTTGACTATTTCTCACCTGTGACCCTATATGTCAGTAGCTTTTTTATTTTAGTGCACTGTAATGAAATGATGGTGAGTGGTTACCTCACCTCAACTGTGTCATTCTGTTTGCTAAGCTGTTTTCACATCCCATTATAATCATCACTAGAGGACTGCGCATTCCCGGAAAGTTTATTTTGTCTCCAGTGTGTGTCAATTAAAGATTGTAGCAGAGCAGCACTCTGCTTTTAACTGTCAGACCCTCTCTGCCAGAGAAAGGATAGTCCTGTGCAGTCACTTTGGACTGTTACTGGCTATTTGACCATGTGCTAGCTGCTGAAAATCCTTTAGTTGTCAAAACTGAGTTTGCAGTAGGTTGCACCTTTTATTGTTTGCAGTTTTCTGTTTTATGTGCATTTAAAAGCCCTTCTTTGCTTTCGAGTAAGGAGGCATGAAGTGACCAGGAATGTTGCCAGTTACAGCTTCACGCCAAAAATAGTGAGTAAACTCACTTTTGTTGAGATGCCCGTGATGATAGCTGAAGGGAGGACAGTCTTAGAAAGTACTGGTATAGGACTGAGTAATTAGCAAAAAGCACACTTTTCTTCTATTTCAGAACTAACATACAGGCCTGTAATATAATGTGCTTTTCTCATGAGCCTCTCCTCCCCCGAGAAGATCTATAAGCCCAGAGGTACCCACTTTGTTACTCTTCTAGTTGTTGAAGCAATTCTAGTCTCTTAATAGTAGGTGGGGTGTTAATATGCAAAGAAAAATTAAGCATCTTTTACAATGCTTATATGAAAACAGCACTTACGTTATGGAAGGCAATACTGGAATCAACAAACAAGGTCCTAATGGGATAGAAACTAGTTTTGATTATAGCATTCTGTACATGAGAAACAGTAACAAAGAAGGCTTTCTCTGTCTCTGCAGTTCTTTTGGGACCATTTATAAAGGCCAGTTAGATTGTGTTACTGTGATTTAACTTTGAAGTTGCTGCAGTTACTGACTGCATCCTGTGCTCTGATGTTCAGCAACTCTGGTATCTGAAGGGAAAATGGGCTTTTTCTCCTTTAACTGTTAGTATTATTTTAGTAAAAATACTTAAGACATTGTTCTTTTTCTTCTGTAAAAATGGCTTAGCAATTTTCACACCCAGGTAGGTTGCACAGCTAGTAACTGATTCAGGATAGGAAATAGCAGTTACAGGTAGCCCACCAAGTGACAGACTATGCAGTCAGCAAATCTGGTAGTTATCACTGCATAGCTGAGAAGCAAAGGTTGCCTTCTCTAGTGAGCCTACCATGTGAGTGCACCTGCTTATAAACAATAGCAGTTCCTTGTTGGCAGGTAATGTGTATCTAGTGTCCCTCTGTGAGAAGATTATGGTTTTATGAGAAGCAGATAGTCATTGGAGATGGAAAGTGATTATTTTATATTCCTTCAGGTAGATATTACCATTTTTAGTGGCTTATGGCTAAGGAAAGCTAATACTTTATCTTTGCCAAATAATCTTTTAAAGTAAACCAGACTCCCACCTGAAGGTTAGGAATCACCCTCTTCTGTGAGTCCTAGTAAAACCCTCCCAAAGCTCCTTCTCAGTCCGTGCTCACAGTCCACACAGCCACATCAGCTCTCTGATTAGGAAGGAAACCAGGCCTGTGCTGGAGACAGGCATGCTGAGCATACAGTTTCTTTTACAGGAGAGAACTTAGGTTTCTGTTGGCCTGTTGCATGGCTTTCTATAAACTGGTATTAGAGTTGAGACACAGAGGTGAGACCCGTACTGTGCGTTCCTTGAGCCTGCCCTGGCATCCTGGTCAGCAGTGGTGGCAGCTGGGCTTGCTTCCTCTACAGTGACTCTGAAGCCATTACACTCCTGTAGCTCAGTTCCGCATGTGGTTGTGCATTGTGTTGACACTGCAGAGCATGAGGATATTAACACTAAATTATTTAATAGGTTTGGAATTCATTAGAATTTTAAGTGTTTACTTTTTAGTCTCCTCATCTTTTATTTTTAGACTTAAAAGGATTGAGTTCTTTTTTTACCTGACATGTAGGATAACCTAATAGAGTAGTTAGTTGAGTGAGCAGTACAACTCTACAGTGTAATGAGGAAATTTAGAAACATCTTTGAAAGAGAATTTATTTGGAGTGAATACTCATTTGTATTTCTTTCATTACTGTTAGCCACATTGTTTTATGGATTTCTTCATATCAAAATTATTTCATACAGGATAATCACTCATGAAGAGTCATATATTTTCCCCCTTTCAGTAAATTGAAAAATAACTGAATTCAGTAAAAAAGAAAAATAATGCTATCTTAATATTTTGGCTTCTTTAAGCTTTCCTATATTATTATATTCTGGTGGGAACCAAAATCACACTTTAATTAAAGTGCTATTTTAAATTTAAATGCTGTCTTTCAAAAGGTTTATAATATGGTCTCTGTGAAGAGTACAGGTTTCCACATACTCTATTAAGCATGTCCCCTGGCCAGCAAGTTAGGAAAGGAACTTCTGGATATTAATTAGTTATGCCTCTTCTAATACCCCATGTCACTAATGCTGCAGTTGTGGGTTACAGTTAGGGAGCCTTTGGGTTTGTTTGTTTGTTTGTTTGTGTTTTGTTTTGTTTTCAGCTCCAGTCCTAACTCTTGATCAGCTTTCCTCTCTGCACTGTGATAAGGAGTAGAAAGAGATGTGGCGTTTCAGAGATTTGTCATGACTTCTCCCTGTGTTCCTGAGCATCAGGAATGTTCTGAGTGGTTTGAAGAGCAGATCCAACATGATCTTTGGCTGACCCAAAGTTAGTGTGAAAAGCAGTCTTCTAAGACGAAAGCTGTTTGACTCTTGGAAGCCAGCGGGGCAGCATGTTTTCGTTCCTCCGTCTCCCTGTTTGCACGCTTCTCCCCGGTGCAGCAGTGTGCACATGCACACACGTGAGCCGCACTCATCTTGGCCCAAGAGTGGCAGACTCTTCTTTCGTTGGTTTTTGTTGTTGTTCTTATGTGTTTGTTTGTTTGTTTGCTTGCTTGCTTGGTTTTTTTTAAGCTGGGGACCACTGACCTAAGCTCTATATGCACCCCAAGTTCCCCATGGAAAACGTTTCAACGTGCAGGGCGGAAGGCACCAGTGCAGCTCAAGGCCACACCATTGCTTTTCCTTGGGGGCTTAGACTGATTCGCCCCGAAATGACTCCAGCCTGTATCCGACAGCACAGGCAGCTCCAGCCGGTTAGTGCTAACACGGTGGAGAGTTGACACCTGCTGACAGTGTGTGCCTCTGTTCCAAAGGGTTGAATCAGTTCTTAACAGTGATAGCTCTTCTCACTGTATTGTGTTGAGTATGTCTCAGGGATTCCTTGCGGAAATTAGGGCAGTTTTTAAAATAAGAAAATAGTTTTAAAAGAAACTAAAGGTGACTCATCATTGATGAGAGCTCAAGAAAGAGAAAGCATTTGGTTTCATAACCCATGGTGTCTCGCCGAGGACTTTTTCCTTTCTACTTCAGGCTCTCATCTCAGCTTCAGCATACAGAACCCTTTCCCATCATGCACAGCTTTAAAACGTTTATTTAAAAACTTCCTTCCCCAATGAGCTTTCAGAATACTTATTGTAGATTTTAAGAGAAAAGGTATATTAATTTATGCTATTAACATCACCTCATAAATTATAAGTTTTATACTAAAGCTGTATTGAGTGTAATGAATTATGTTGCCTATGTGTTTTAATAGCTTAAAATTATATATGAGCTTCTTCTTTTTCTTTTTATTTTTTGACAAAACAAACTAGTGACGCACCTTTTTACACTGGATCTCTGCCGTGTCAAGGTGTAGAGCTGTCCTTTGCTACCTTGCAGACATCTAAAGAAAGGGTAACCCGGGGCCTCAAAATGTAGAACACCCTTAGAACATTAATCATAGAGCAGTTGAGAGTCATCTTCTTAGCACATGATCTGTGCTTTACACTTACGATGGCTAGACGCTTAGTTACAGGGTAAATAGAAGCATTTAGATCAAGTACAACTCCCACTGCTGTAGCTGGAATTTGTAAACTTACATTTTTAAGACCTCTTTTATTTCCTATGGATTTATTCTTTAATTTACAGTTTATTCTGTAAGTTGAAAAGTAAAATAGAGAAATTAATAAGTCTAGATGTTCTCAATATCTCATTCAGGAATGTTTTACCCCCCCTCACTAAGGAATTCCCACTGTGACTTAAAAATAGAGGTAAATTACTTGTGTGCATGTATGTGTCTGTGTTTTTACACACATGCAAAAATATACATCGGGGGCACGTGTGTGAGATATGAATGTGTGCTTGTATAAAAATAGAAAGGTAACCGAATGTATTATAGAAATATGATTTATTTAGCTGAGGGTATTAGAGTTATTTTCCCATTGTTTCTATTTTATAAACATGCCATATTTCTTCACTATAGTATAATGTTCAAAGGCCATCTCTGATATCATGTGCATTTTTTATGAACCTTTGGATTAACTTATGCTGCTTTTAGACATCAGAAAAAGCAGATTCTAAGACCAGCCTCGTACTTATGAGCATAAAAATAAAAGAGAGAGAGAGACAAACAGACCTAGATAACAGCTCATTTATCTATTGAGGTGATGGGACCAGAGATTTGTTGAAATATTTTTATGTCTAGTAAATTTTCTTCATATTCCAGGTAATAAAGTATTATGATATTTTCTTGGTCATGTTCAGAAAACATACAGGCCTTGGTAAGGAAGCTTTGGAAGGGGCTACTTTTTTAAGGAGTTGGTGGTCTCATTTCACCGTGCATATTTCGAAGCTGGTGTGATTTCAGTTATTTGCAAAACATTTTTTAAAAACTGAGTTGTGCCATTGGTTATGGTGTGGAGCAACCCAGTTCCCATCTTTTGGCTGTAGGAAAGATCATGCTACCTTCGATGCTTACCTGATTCATGTGGAACTGAAAAGAAAAAGATGCATTCCTGTTCTTTGAACCTTGTCATTTTGCTGTTCATTCTTCACTGGGGCACCGGGTGACCTGAGACAGTCAATGAGAGCCAAGTGTTCCCATCACATTTATTTTATTATAAAAAACCATATACTTAGATATGCCAGAACAATTCCTAAGAACACATTTGAATTGGTAGTTGTCTTTCAGGCCTCAGTTACTTCATCTTAGATTCAAACAAAACCTAGGAAAGCTCTCCGTGTTTTGTTTTGTTTTGTTTTGTTTTTACAGTTGTATTTTTATAGCATCTCCCTGTTTCATCCACTTTTGCTTTCAGATTTTAAGAAATCTGCATATTTCTTGTACATATGCATGCAAACGAAAGAAGGGAGTTTGTACTGATGCCATTTCTCCCTTCAGTTGCTGGTAAATGGAATTTGCTAGAATCAGTTTCCCCTTATTGAAGGGTGAAAACAGACCCTTTGTGTATATCTGTACAGAGATGTGTATACGGGATGTGGCGGCACTTTGCTGAATGTGACCTTGCCTTGTCAATGGAAAGACTGAAAAGTATTATGTTTATTTATACATTTGTATAAATCTATATATACACGTATGTATATGTGTGTGTATAGATAAAGCTATATACATATATCTCCCTAAAAATGTGTGTGTGTATAATAGAGTAACAGCCTTTACTAAGCAAAATTATGCATCTGTGGGAAATTTGGGGTTATTTTGCAAGCCCGTGGAAACGATGACAGTCTAGAGTGCATCACCAAGCATACTGAATTGGAAACCCTTTGGGTTACAGTCACTATTACAGATTACAGCAGCCACAAATGAATCTTTGTCTGAGCTTTTTTTTCTCACCAATTCCACTGGTCCTCAGACTTTTTGGTAGCTAATCTCTCATTACTTAACAATCACACGTCTTTGCCAAGTTGTCTGTTGTCCAAGTGCTCTAGATTGAGTCTGCCTGTGCTGGGCCACATCCCAGCCTCTGTCCTCCTGTTTCCTACTTACTTCTCTCACTAGAAGCCTTGGCGGAACTATCTCAGCTGTCACTTTCCCAGACCTTTATCACTGACATTTCCCCACAGTATACAGCTTACAGTAATCTTTTCTTTGAGAATTGGGTAGTCATCAAAAATAAAAAGCCAACATTCAAATTACTAATTTTGAAATTTTTAACTAGGTAACTTTGGAGTATTTTACTTTAATTAAGAAAAAAAAACATAATTATGACTTTATGATTGGTATTAATTTTAGGTGTATTTTATTTCCACACTTATCATTTAAATAGTTGGATTTGTTTTGTGTTTTAAATATAAATTTACTATTTGAATTTTAACAAAGAATACAGAATCATATGGAAGCCTCTTGAGTTCTAGAACTGACTCATGTTTCTCATGATGAAATGCACTAATGAGTTCCTGTATAATCAATTCTACTAGATTTCCTTTTGACTTTTCTCACAGTTACGACATTCAGTTTTAACCCTGCTGCAGCTCTCTAGAAAACTTGCACCCTTCTATACCGTGCCTTTAAAGCTCTTATGCACACACAGATAAAAGTGTATATATACATGTTGGCGCGTGTGTACATATACTTTGATATATTCTCTCACAGTATGTCTCCAGGATACACTGTGGGAGTGGACATATTCAAAGGCAATGAAATGTTGCTCTTTAGATATATATGTATATAAGAGTGTTGATATAACTGTACATACACATGTATATGTATGGGTTCTAAATGGCAATCTTACATTTAGCAAAATGCTGCCCTACTGGAATATTGCCACTGCAATGGCGCTTGTATGTAATGATTTAAGATACATTATCAAAAATTATTTAAAGAACATTAAAGGTCTCATCTAAAGACAGCCACACACTATTTATTTAGCTTCCTATTCCTTTTATTGTTGTGTTTGTGTAACTGAAAGGGAGACTGTCATTTTAAAAATGCCATCTGTGTATGAGAGATGAGATTCGCCCGGGGCACTTTGTATCTCCCCTGTCTCCGAAACAGGGATGTACCACAATCCAACTTGTTTATCTCAATGTTAAAGCAGTCCTGATACCGCCACTAGCGTGTGTCATCCACCATCTCCTTGATCAACTTAATTCACCAATTTGCCTCTTCCTTCCATTTATAAATAATGATCATTTCGATCATTTTGCCTGGGGGAAGCTCGCTCCTCTCTTGCTGCAGGGAAATAGATCATCTAGTTATTCTGCCTTGTTCAAAATCACCTTGGGAAGAAGATGGTTCTCATAACGCTGTCTTAAGCACAGTTTATTTTGCATAGTTTGCATTTATTTAAAGATCTTACCTTTTTTTTTTTTTTTTTTGAAAGAACTCTTAAGTTGCATGTACTTGGCATAGAGTTAATTCCTACTGCCCTTTTCCGCAAGGCATTTTTTCATTAGTCTATCGGTTTTTCATACCGAATGCAAGAACATTAAGACGAAACTGTCAAATACTGTTTTTGTTTGTGATGAGCTGGCGGCAGATTACACCTGGGGAATCTAGAGGGAGAGAAAGGTAGACAGATAACGGTAAAGTCTGTGTTAAGTGGGCAATGGAGTAAGGATACTCATAAGAGACATTTCACCAGGTAGCTCGCTAGAACTTGATATCAGAATCAGCCTTTAACAGAAAGCTTCCTGGTGGATGGATGGTACCAACCAGAGTGCCCGAGTATAAATTGGAACCAAGTTGCAGTGGTAAACCAAAGGTGAGAGGTAGCCATTGGAAACCAGTGGAGGCCAGGCAGGCTGGACAGTTCTAGAAACCTCTTTTAACAAAGTAACTGCACGGTAGCAAGGACTAGCCATCCCGAGAGCTCTTCCTTTTCAGTGTTCTCATTCACCTTGGCACACAGCAAGCTTCATACGCCATACATCCAGAGCATAGACAGGAGGACGGCTGCTTAAAGGGGACTTACAAACCAACCGTATTCTCTCACACTGTGTCGCGGTGGCCACTTAGTGCCAGGCGTGCACGCTGGGAGCAGCTAGTTTCTGCAGCGTAGGAGAGGAGACTGGCAGGATTTGGAAATGCGCATCCGTGGCACTGCCTGCGGCTTTGCTGGGGAGGACACATTTGGGGAGGTGGCGGCCTTTTGGTTTGTAATTTCCCTTTAAACAGGAAGAGATGATTCACATTTTCCATATATATATCTCAATGAATGTACTGTATTACTGTTTTAAAAATTTGATGAAATAATAATGGATTGGTCTCCTTTTGTTATCTGGTCCTTGTTTAATTTGTTTAAGGGTTTTTGTATACAAAAGTTTACATTTTTATGTATATTTTTCTTGTGTAAAAACTGATGTAATATGTGTATAAAACACTGTATGTATTATCTGTATATAGTGTGACAAAATGATTTTTCTTTCTTTCTTTTGGATGTATTAATAAATCTTGCTGTGAAGTAACCTTGCTTTTACTAATTATTTCCTTTGCCTGCATGGTGATGGAAGCTCCTGATCCAGGGTAAGTACTTTCCTTGTTTCTAGTCTCTGAGACATGGTTTTCCTACATCCCAGACTGGCCTACAACTCAGTGTGTGGTCCTGGTCCTCTTGCCCCAGCCTCCCACATTCTGAGATTACAAGCATTGTTTTTATGAGATGAAATTTTGCCTCTGGCTGGCCTGAAACAGTGTATTCAAGCTGGCCACTGACTTTGGACAGTCCTGTCTCTGCCACCCAAGTACAGGGATAATGGATTAGGCCATCATACTGAACTTCCTCCCACTTCCTCCCCATCCCACCCCCACCCACTAGACAGGGTTTCTCTTTGTAGCCCTGGCTGTTCCGGAACTTGATCTGTAGACCAAGCTGGCCTCAAACTCAGAGATCTGCTGCCTACCTCTGCCTTCCAAGTGCTGGGATTAAAAGTGTGCCCCACCACTGTCTGGCTCCTTTTTCTTTAATATGTTGTTTTTAATCTATATTATCAATTGTTGATTACATATATATATGTATATATATGTATGTATGTATATACATTCATGATCTTTATGGCTAGCCTAACAGTTTATAAATTGACTTCAATTATATTATTTAAGCTTGAAATCCAGCCAGAAATTGTTAGAGTACAAATCTGTTTCTTTTAGCCAGAAGTTTCTCTCTATTTCCACCCTTCCCCCCATTTTTTTCCCTCTTTCTTGGTGTTTTATAGATCATAGGTCAATGGGAACTCACTATGTAGCCCTGGTTGGTGATAAAGTAATGACTTTCATTTCTCAGTTTCCAGATGTTGCCATCACAGACTTGTTGCAGAATATTTGTTCCCATTGTGAACCCCAAAATTGTCAACTGTAAAATACTGTTTCTTGTTTAGTGTAGTTGAGCCCTATCATGCACCTTTAATCCAAGAACTTTGTTGTAAACAGTTGATTATCGTGTGGTTCAGCCAACCCTAGCACACACCTTTAAATCCAAGAGCTTTCTGCACACAGGTCAAGAGGCAGAGCAAGAAACCAGCTGACAGGGATTAAATAACAGGAGGGACTTTGATAGAGGGGTATTTATGGTATGGTGGAGAAGAAGAGCTTTTTGAGCTGGCTCTTTGGCACCTTAGCTCATTGGCTTTAGCCTTGAGTTTTTTGGCCTTTTCCTCCTGAGCTGTCAGCTTGAGCTAGGGAGCCTTTTGGGTTTTTTTCTTCCTCCTCAATGGAGGAGGAAGGTCAGTTGTGTACTTTCTCTGCCTCTCTGAGCTAGCAGGTTTTCACCCCAGAATCTGGTTGGGATTTTTTTTTTTTTTTACCAATTTGCTTGTCTTTTCCTTTACCTTATAGCTGTAAAACATACAATAATAATTTCATATTATGTACCAAGGTTAAAAACAATACTCAAAAAATAACTACTACAAAGAATTAGCTTGTGGAAGTGACTGGATTCAATCCCCAGTATCAACACAACAACAACATAAAATCCACACCCTTGATATCATCAGAGTTGAACTGGTAAGGTTTTTGTTTTGTTTTTTTTTTTAAATTGAAACTTTGCACTGCTTGCTTTTTCTTTTGTTACTGTGGGAAACTTTAAACTACTCAAGCAAAAAAATATTAACCACCCAGTAACGTGTTCATTTCATGGAGGCACACGTGGGTGTGTAATTAGAATTTGGTTTCCTCGGTTTCTAATCAGTGTATGTTTAAGGCACTTTCTAAAAATCATATTTCCCTAAAAACGGGAACATTTTGAGACCAAAAGCAGGTTGCCCTGGGTGTTAGTGAAATAACCCACATGAGTAAGAGGCTAATGCTCGTTCTGCTTATGAACTCATGACTTAGGGAGTTAGGCTCAGTAGCGAGCTGTGTGTTTCTTCAGCTGTACAGCTCATTTAAAACTTGCTTTTTAGCCAGTTGTGATGGCACGAGCCTTTAATTCCAGCACTCAGGGAGGCAGAGGCAGGTGGATCTCTGTGAGTTCGAGGCCAGCCTGGTCTACAAAGTGAGTCTAGGACAGCCAAAACAAAACATACAAACTTGTTTTTTTTTTGCTTCAGGATGCTCTTCTCTGTGTGTTGCTGGGGTTTGAAGTGGGCACTTCCCTTGTGCTGGCCAGTGCCTTACCACTGAGCTGCATCCCCACCCAACTGTGGCTCTTCCAGATCCTGGAGCCAGCCTTTGAGGTTCCATGGCTGCTTTCCTGCCTAGATTTTAAAAGAACTCTAGCCTCGGGAACCAAACCTGTAGTGCAGTGTCTGATAAAGGGATGCGGCTGAGATCCCGGTGGATAGTGGGCTTCCCAGTGAAAGCCAGAAGAGGTTAGTGCTGTGTTCTTAGGAGAACGGCACAGGACACTCTGGGTTTGAGTCTAGCCTGGTGACATTGAGATCTCATCTTAGAAAAAGACTGAAATTGATGAAGCTAAGGACAAGGGAAGGTATCAGAAGATTTGCTCATATCCAAGACTCTAGCTTTGGAAGTCAGAGTGAACAAAGCTGGAGATGGAGCAGGTGGCCACATGGTGATAGCTGAAATTTGGCTCAGATGAGAGGATACAGATGGGGAAGTCATGGCCATAGGCCTCAAGTTGGCTGTAGGTAACCAGGAAAGGAAGGTGAGATTAGCTGTTTGGAACACAGCTCTGCAACCTATTTTGTTTGGCTTCATTTTAAAATTATTAATTTTCTCAAAATTTCATATTCACTCCTGTTAAAGGGTATTTGGTTATTGCACATAGGAAAACCTATTTGTTAGCAAAATATAGAAGTCTAAGTAGATACTGGATTTGTCAGATGCAGTTAGATGTCCTGAAGAGATACAGCTTGGGTATGTGTCTAAAAGCCTAGAGATAAGAATGCAAAGTTCCAGCCTATTTTAAGGCAAATTCCTTGGGAGAGGTCTTGTGGTCTTTGCTCTAGGCCCCGAGGAAAAATCAGCTGAGTGGCCTTGAGCTACTCCACTATGAAGGTGAAAAGGTTCCGGTCCCTACTGACTTGGCTTGGCGTCCCCCTCCCCACCATAATGGAGACATGGTTCAGCCTGCCCAAGGGTATGGGGGGAGGACCTGAAGACTTCTTTATAAGCAATTGGACCTTTTTTTTTTCTTTTTTGGTTTGGAAGAGCTCTTAACCACAAGGGATGTAGTTAGACTGGGGATGTAGTTCAGTAGCAGAGCACTTGCCTAGCATACAAGCAGCCCTGGGCTCAATGACCAGTAGTGAAAGGGAAGATGGGTATGTTTCCACCACCACCTACAGTGAGGCTAGCTAGCAATCTGAAAATGTCCCTAAAACGGAGAGTGCTTTGTAGGGGCCTGGAAAGATGGCTCAGTGGTTAGGAACATTGGCTGCAATTCCAGAGGACCCTGGTTCAATTCCCAGCACCCACATGGCAGTTCACAACTGTCTGGTCTGTCACTCAAATTCCAGTGGATCCGACGTCCTCACACACAAATATATATGGGCTTGAAGGGCCTGAAGAGACTGGGATAGAGGACTCCATGCAAGGTCATACAGCAGTGTTAAGGTCTGAATATGAAACATCCCCCCAGAGACCCTTGTGTTTTCCCTTGTCCCCAGCTGGTGATGCTATTTGAGAGATGGTGGAAACTTGAGGGGTGTAGCCCAGCTAGAGGAAGGGCAGTGGGGTATGCCTTGGAAGGTTATACCAAGCCAGCAGTCTCTGTTTTGCTCTCTGCTCCCTATCACCTACACCCTACACCATGATTTTCTGTTCAAACGCATGAGGCCAAGCTACCATGAGCAGATAACCCTCTGAAACCATGTGCAAAGTAAGTCATTCCTCCCTTACAACAGCGATGTAAAAGTAACTAGCGAAGACAATTGATCATCAATGTCTGTTGCTGTGACTTCCTGACTTTGAAGTTTCTAAGCCTTTAATACTTGATTACAGTCCCATCAGCAGCATGGAAGAGTTACCCTCTGTCCTATCTTCAGCAACATATGTTGTTGTTTGAATGGTTTTTTTTTTTTTAATTCTCTGAGAATTTCTTACATGCATACAATGTATTTTGATCACACTCAACTGCCCACCCTCCTCCTAGCTTCTCTTGGATACCTCCCACCTACCTCCCAACTTCACGTTTTCTTCATTTAAAAAAAAATGAATCAGCTTGTGTTACCTATATACACATACATGCTCAGTGGCCATCCATAGAGCATGGTCGACCTACCAGGGGACACACCGTTAGAGAAATCTGACTCTCCTTCCTGTAGAGACTGTCAGCTGCCAATGATTCCTTGGCTTGAGGTAAGGTTTGCTAGTCCCTCTCCCTCCTGCGAATAGTGGGTGGCTGGCTGAATCTGATGTAGGTTTTGTATGAACAATCAAAGCTGCTGTGAGTTCATGAGTGCAGTGGTTGTATCCAGAAGACACTGTCCTGGTCCTCCTCAACCTCTGGCTGTTTGATTTGTCACTGCACCTTGGAGTAGGGAATATGATGTGAATGTCCCTTTTATGGCTGACCACTTCACGAACATTTATTCTGTGCACTTTGACCCGTTGTGAGTTTCTCTGTGCTAGCCACCATTCCCTGGACAAAGAAACTTCTCTGATGAAGGGAGGCTGGGAGCTGCACTAGTCTGTGCATAGAGAGATGTGTATTTACAGGGCAATTTTATACAACATCCATTTAGTGAAATAACAGTAGTAGATTTCCCCATAGGGCTTATGCTCTTCTTGGCCATAAGTTCTTGGCCAGATTTTTTCCTGTAGAGTAAGCCTTAATTCCAATCAGAAAACAGTTGATTATTCCCATTTATGATCATGCCACTGTGCACCCTTGGGCATATCTCGCCAGGCTGTTGTTGTAGCTCACAGGGTTCACAGCTGGGTGAAACTGTTGATGATTTTTCACCCCTAGAAACCTTCATAGCGTCTTCTGGTACCGTGAAAACTAGCCAACAAAGAAAGAGCTTCCTGGTCAGTACCAAAGTTTATGGTGTCTTCAGCAATAGAG